CTCCACACTGGCTACGATTTTCCAAAAGTGGAAAGTAAAGCTCGCAGAAAATCCATTTTCCCTAGGGATGACCAGTGGGTTCTAGTCACCAGTCTCTCCCTCTCCTTGTTTACTCTCTTGTCAGTGATGGAGTTGGGTTGGGGGAGGAGTGGCGATGTGGTGGTAGAAAGAAGTAAATTCTTACTGTAAACTTGCATTGATGAACAGAGACAATTAAGCCAAACAAAATAGTTACCCCAGAGTTCAAGCTCCAAGAATTGCTTTGTGCCATTCTGAATTCAGGTAGTTATTCTGTATATACTTAGACAATTATCAGAAACTTCTTCAATCTTTACTAAGTTTGAAGGGGGTAATCTGGGAAGGCACAGGACAGGGTAACATTGAGAGCCCTGTTCATTCTTAAATACAAAAATAGGGATAAGCCAGAGGGATATGCCATCTGATGTGTGGTAGATAAAGAATCAGTGGACATTCTTAATTGCACAGACTTTATAATTCATTATATAAAATGTATTCCATACTTTTTACTGTGGCAAGGGTGTGATGTGGTTGTTAATCTTTTTAATTTTTGAATCCAAACTGAATTTAAAGTGTTGAATACTTAAAATTCCTCACAAGCTAATTATGAACCATTTGTAAAGTGTTTCTATAACTCTTTGTATCATGTGTTGGTACATCTTATCAAGTTTTTTCTGGCATGTATTCCATTCTAAACTTCTGTAAAATTTCTATTGTTGCTGTACATATTCTACAAATATCTACTCCGTGGTAACCTTCATTAACAGCATGAAACAGTTAATTTTTACTGAGCACAATGTATTTTTGAATGGATCTTCCCACATGTCTTTAATAAAATGCAGATTTTGCACTGACTGATGTGACTGCCAGGCTTTCCCAATCTTGAACACTGTGGTCCTTCTTGCCTTTGAATACGAAAGCAGCTCCATTTTAATTCTTTCTTTGTAAACATGAATGTGTTTGAATTCAAATGAGGGGCAATGGGCCTTTGAAGTTGTAATCAGTTTCAAGGAGAGAAATTAATGTAAAGCAAAGCAAATCCTGTTACTTAAATGTTTTTTTTTCCTATTTATAAAGTTCTTTTCCCCTTATGGCATTGTGAAAACCTTGGTTTCTTTCACACTTGAGTGTTGTCATCTGTATTGTTTGGTGCTTACTTGGTAATTTGAAGATGAAGAGAGATGCTAACCTGGTGTGCTTAGAGCTATGAAGAAAAGATGGTCAGCTCTGAAAGATTGCTTCTTGTTCTAGAGCAAGGGTTGGCACTCTTTCAGAAAGGTCAAATAGTAAATGGGCTCTGTGGGCCGTAAGAACTTGGTTGACTCCACAGAACTCTGTGCATACAGCACAGAGACAGCTAGATAATATGCACGAGCAGAGTTGACTGATGCCAGGTTTAGGCCAACCGTGCATACTATCCTGAGCCAAAGGGGATGCTACTGGACTACTCTGAGCCAAAGGGATGCTACTGGAGACAGGATAAATACAGTCACAGTGGCTGCACCTCTTCAGTTTATAACTGTGTACTTCTCAGTAGGGAGACAGAAACTTCAAATCCATGGTACTTTATATGTCAGTTATTCTCCAGTTTTAAATATCATTCTTTAAAAGGGGTTACGAGCTGAAACTCAGAACTCATCTTCTATGTGTCTGTCTGTCACTGACTGTAGACATGTATGTGCCACAGCAAGTGTGTGGAAGTCAGAGGGCCCTGTTTCATAAGAAATGGAAGACTAAAACAAGTGTATGGGGCTCTTTGTTTGTTTTGTTTCATCTTGGAAAGATCTTGTGTAGCTCAGGCTAGCTTTCAATTCACAATTATCTGAGAATACTCTTGAACTCCTGATCATCCTGCCTCCACTTCCCATGTTTATAGGCATGAGCTATCATGCCCAGCATAACAATTTTTTTCTAAAAGCTCACACCAATTCATGTGCCATCTTCCACTCTATCTCCCAGCTGGTAGTGACTTATTTGATTTAAGAATGAAACAGTGCCGGGCGGTGGTGGCGCACAGCCTTTAATCCCAGCACTCGGGAGGCAGAGCCAGGCGGATCTCTGTGAGTTCGAGGCCAGCCAGGTCTACAAAGCGAGTTCCAGGAAAGGCGCAAAGCTACACAGAGAAACCCTGTCTCGAAAAACCAAAAAAAAAAAAAAAAAAAAAAAAAAGAATGAAACAGTTCTTCAATGAAACAACTTATTGGACATCTAGGGATGCTAATGAAGTGGTTAAATAGACAGATGGCCTTAGTGGATTTATCACTTAATTCTGACATGACCTGAGGTAGCATACTTACTTAGCTTCTCTGTGCCTCAGTTTCTTTGCCTTTAAATGGAAACACTGCTGGTATCTATAACATAGGGCTGTTGTGAGCATTTAATGAGATGCTGCCAAACATTTAGCAGAATTTTTGGTAAATGTTGGCTAGTATAACATCATGCTTTGTATTTGTGCCTCAGTTGCTAGTTCCCAAGTTGGGAAGGGAGGCTGGAGAGATGGTTACTAATTAAGAGCACTTGCTGCTGCTCCTCCAGAAGGCCTGAGTTCAGTTCCTAGTACCCACATTGTGTGGCTCACAACTACCTATAACTCCAGATCCAGATCTGGATATCCTCTTCTGGCTTCCATGGATGCATACATGCACACACACGCACACATTCGCTTTCTCTCTCTCTCTCTCTCTCTCTCTCTCTCTCTCTCTCTCTCTCTCTCTCTCTCTCTCAATCAATTGTCAATCTTAAAGAAACTGGGAAGAAATTTCACTGACTATGGAAAGCTGGCTATAGACATCTCTGTGGTTAGTATATTAGGTACATGTATTCTATTTGCTCTTCATATAAAAAAAACAGATCCAACTTAGGGCTGGTCTTGGACTTGCAGGGGAAGCAGAAGCCCTTATAAGGTGTTCTTCAGCTGTCCTCTCGCCGCTGCACTTCATGTGGTCAGAGAGGTGGACGCTGTCAGCAGTCATTCAAAAGCTTCCTTATGGGATGTAGTCTTCTTGGCTCTGAAACCGGATTCATAGCAGCTCCTCTACTTTGAAATACCTTTGCTTTGTCCATATAACCTCCCACGTCAAGTACGAGGATCACTTCCAATTGTTTTTCTTAATAGAATTATTTAATGCTTCATAATTAATTAAAAGTATGCAAAATGTTGGGTGGTTTACTCTTTTGTTTTAATCCGCAGGCTGCTGGTGGAACTTAGTGGTAAGGCATTTGCCTAGCATGTATGAAGACCCTGGGTTAGGTCCTCAAAATCATAAAAAAAAACAATCCCCCACATATAGCCCAAAGTCAGGTATTAAAAATAAACAATATATGCTAAGATGGGAATGATTTTGCTCCATTATATAATTTTATTGAATTACACCCTAAAAGAAACGCTACTGCAAGCATATTTTTTGTCTAATAGCAAGATTGTTCGGCTTCAGGTTTCCTTCAATAATAGTTTAGTTTTTAATATATCCTGTCACAAATTTAAGGAAGTAAATAATCTGTGTGCTGTTGAAAGTAAATTAACTACAGGTACATGTTTTGCGGATCGTAGTGTCTCACTCTCTATTAAATTCTATAATTGTAAGCATTTTCCATTGTGAAACCCCTGGCTGGCCTCAGATATATTTATTTAGAAATTTAAGGAACTCAGAATAGCCAGGACAATCTTGAAAAAGACCAGAATAACTTCCTACAGTGCTATACAGTAATGGAGACTATAAAGTAATAGAATTAGGAGGCCTGAAGAAAACCCTCATATTCTGGGCCAGTTGGTTTTGGCAAGGGTACAAAGACTATTCATTAGGGGAAGGATTGCCACAGAAGGTACCAGGACAAATGCATATTAACATGCAAAGAATGGAATTCAGCTCATGCTTTAAAGCTGTCTCTTTTTTTTAAAGAATTCAAAACTTTTTGAAGAAAACACAGGAGTAAACCTTCTTGACTCTAGACTTGGCAGCAGATAATACACCAAAAGAAGTAACAGGGAAGTTGGACTTCGTTAAACTTTGGAATGTGTTGTGCTTCAAAGGACTTCACCAAGAGAGTTTTAAAAAAGAAAGGCCAGATGTGGTGACCCATAATCCCAGAACCTGGGAGGCAGAGGCAAAAGGATCTCGGCGAGTTCCGGGTCAGCCTGGTCTACATAGTGAGTTCCAGGCTAGCCAGGGCTACATAGTAAGATCCTGTCTCAAAATAACAACAAAAACAGGATGGAAGAGGTGTATTCATAAGAGAATTGTATGTAGATTATACAAAGAACTCTTAATGGATCAATGAATTGAAATTTTAAAATGGGCAAAGGGTCTGAATAAATGTGTCTCCAAAGGTATGCAAATGGTTACTTGAAAAGATACTCAACACCATTGGTTATTATGGAAATGCAAATCAAAATCAACATGGAATGCCACTTCATACATGCTAGGATGGATCTAATGGAAGACAAGAAGCATTGCTGAAGATGTGGAGAGATTGGAACCTTCATACATTGTTAGTGAGAACAGAAAATGGTGTGTGCAGCCACCTGGTAAAGTAGTTCTTCATAAGGATAAGCATGGAGTCACCAAGTGACCCAATAATTCTGTGTGTATGCTCAAGATAAAACATGTCAACGAAAAATTTACACACAAATATTCATATAGCAGCATTATTTTTTTTAACAGCCCCCAAAGTGGAAACCACCCAGATGAATGGCTAGATAATAATTGAATATCCCTACATGGAATGATATTTACAAAAAGGGAAGAAGTACTTCTCCAACACATGGACTTTAAAAACACGATAAGTGCCAGGCAGTAGTGGTGCACACCTTTAATCCCAGCACTCAGGAGGCAGAGCCAGGCAGATCTCTGTGAGTTCGAGGCCAGCCTGGTCTACAGAGTGGCATCCAGGTCCAGGACAGGCACCAAAACTACACAGAAAAAACAAAACAAAAAAAACACAAGAAAAAACATGATAAGTACAAGAAACCACAAACTACTGTATATCATAGAATTCCATTTATGTGGGAAAATGCCCAGAACAGGAAAAATCTACATACAGACAGCAAATGGTTTACAAGTAACCTAGGGCTGGTGTGGCTGATGGCTCAGGGTTGAGGATTCTCTCTGGGGTGATAAGAATAGTCTAAAGTTACTTGTGGTAATGATTGCACAAGTCTGAACATACTGTCATTGAATTATACACCTCAAATGGATAAGGGCTGTTTATGTGAACTTAATAAAACTATTATTAAATTTATGATGTGAACTGTTATTTGACAAGTCTTTATCCATGCCTCACACCCTTTTGTTTAATTTTTTCCCTGATCAGTACTCTTAAGTTATTGCCATTTTCTCTGACAATTACTCAGTGTGGTGAACAAAGTAATTCAGTTTTCCAAATAAGAGTCTGCTTTCAGGAATTTCATCCAAAATGGATTTGTACAAATGTTGCAATACTAGGAATGCCATTGTGCAATGCCACCCCCCCCCACACACACACACACCTGTGAAACTCCAAAACACTAGGTAGGAAATTGGAGGCTTTTGAGAAGTTGTTCCATTCACTGAGAAGAATGTGACATCCAAGGTCATTTTATTGATTGATTGATTTTTGAGAGGCAGTCTCACTGTGTAGCCTTGGCTGGCCTGGAGCTTGCTCTGTAGACCTGGCCTTGAACTCACAGAGATCCACCTGTCCATGTCTCCCAAGTGCTGGGATTAAAGATGTAAGCCACCAAGTCCAGCCATCCAAGGCCATTTTAGTGTGGGTCCATGCAATCCCTTTAATATCTGGAAATGGAAAGTTATCTCAGAGAAAAGAGCTGCTAGCCAAGGCTACACTGTGTGTGTGAGGCCAGGCCCTTGTCTCTGGAGGGTCCTCATCCTGTGGATTGTCAGTTTCTCCCTACGTGCCTCTCCCAGAGATGGGCCTCAAACACAGCATGAGCTGTGTGGCAAATGAGACCAAGACCAGTAGTCATTCCCTCAGGCTCCAAAGCTCTCCGCTAAATGAGCTACTCCAGCCAGAGAGTGATGAGCCAAGTCCATTTCTACCCAAAGAAGTTTCAAATGCCATGTCAGGCAAGCATGTTTGAGTGGGCAAGGCAGAGGTAGGAGGGGAGAAGCATCTCAGAGAGAAGCTATAGGCTCTTCTTTTCCTGTGTGTGTGTGTGTGTGTGTGTGTGTGTGTGTGTGTGTGTGTGTGTGTGTGTGTGTGTAGCCCACATCGGGTGTCTTCTTCAATTGCTCCTCACTTTATTTCTGAGATAGGGTCTGTCAGGGAACCTGGAGCTTACTGATTAAACTAGACTGATCAGCAAGCCCTAGGAATCCTCCCGTCTACCTGCCTCCTAGTCGTAGGATTTACAGGGATGGCCCTCCATGCCTGGCTTTTTTTCTTGAGACAGAGTCTCACTGTGTAACCTTGACTGGCTTGGAACTGCTATGTAGACCAGACTGGCCTCAAACTCAGAGATCCGCTTGCCTCTGCCTCCCAAATGCTGAGATTAAAGGCGTGCGCCACCATACCTGTCCATGCCTAGCTTTTTACATGGATTCTAGGAATATAAACTCACCTCCGTATGCTTGTACAGTCAGCACTTTACTGACAAGCCATCCCCACACAGCCCTCTATGACATGAGCTCTGACCCCTTCCCACAATGCATGGTCTCCCAGTAGTCAGAGTCTTGCCTCAGCTGTTTTCAAAATGTGTTCAATTTCTGGAAAACTGTAGCCATAGATAAAGAAGGTGTGATATAGTCTAGTCATTTGGGCTTCCTCTATGTAAGGGAAGCCTCACTACCCACACACATGCAGCCTGCTACTTGCATTCATTTCCTGGTAAGCACAGATGGACAGCTTGCTGAATGGGTCGTAGACTGGAACTATATGTAAAAGGAACTCCAGCCGGCCCTAATTCCCTCAGGTCTATGGCTAAAAGCCCAAACCCCTTCCAGGCAAAAACAAGAGGGGGAAGCCTTGACTGGTCGGTCGGTCGGTTGGTTGGTTGCTGTTGACGGACTCTTGGGCTTGCTACAGGCTCCCCTCGGCTTTATTCATGCCTGCCTGCTTGTCTCCAGTCCTCTCTAGTCGGGATTTAATGAAAGTTTTAAGGGCAAGCCTTCAGCATTCATGTGAGGCTTTGCAAAATCGTATGCTCCTGTTCTGAATGTGGTAAGAGCCAAAAAGAATTTTCAAATTATCAGAGCTGCTTTGTGTTCCCCCGGGTCTGCACCTTTGACAGTGTCACTGAGACAAAAAGAAAAAGAGAGGGAGCGAGATCAGCAAATTACCCTTGCTATTTAGGTTTATGGAAGAAAATTGGTTTGAGGGATATTTTCTTTGTTCTTATTTTCTTTGGCTGAGTTGAGGAAATGCTCTTTTTTTTTCTTTCTTCCACTGAAATTGGAAACTATATCTTTTGAAAAATGAAATATTCCCTACCCAGATCTGAATTTGGAAGTGCTTATAAGCTCCAGCCCTGTTCATCACAATGGCATGTCAGGGGCCCCCACCCCCACCAAGCTCTCCCCATTGTGGCAGGACTGACTGAGCTGAAACAGACATCAGGCACACTTGCTGGTACACTCAAGCAGCTCCATCCGGATGGCGATTCGGACATGCCAGCCGAGAGGGATCAGTCGGATGAAGCGGGAAATGATGGGGGGCCGCAGTAAATTCTGGACTGTAGAACTCCGGTCCGAGTTTCCGTAGAAGACCTAGACAGAGGGAGGAAGTCTGGTCATATAATATCCACACGCAAATGTGTGTGTGTGTGTGTGTGTGTGTGTGTGTGTGTGTGTGTGTGTGTGTGTGCTGCCATGGCCTTGAATGTGCCAAGCAAGCATTCTACCACAGTACCACATGCCCAGCCCACATTAGCTACATTTAAAGTGGTCAGCAACTCCACATGACCAGTAGTCACCATGGTGGCCAGTTCAGATATGAATATTTCTGTCATCAAAGATAGTCCTATTGGATAGTTGCTAGAATATGCCTCTTGACTCTTCACCACTTTTCCATTTTAATCCTTTACACTTCGACAGAAAAGTTTGAAAGGGTCCATCCCACACAAGAGAGGTGTTCACATGTTCTGAAGATATCCAGGATGCACTCAAGTCAAACCTGTGCTCTGAAGTTGGAAGGCAAAGCTTAAATGTGTGTTTCTACTTTGTTCCAAGTGACAAGTGCCTTTTAGGCTTGGAAAAATATTTTTTACAAACAGACAAAAACTAGAGGGGAAATTCTGGCATGGAGAAGATGGTATTGACATAAAGAGATAAAAGGTTCACTTAATGTTTTGCAGGAAGCAACGTAAAATGTTGCAGGTACTTGACATTTTCTGAATTCTTCATATTCTTTCCAGGGTCATGGTGTTCTGCTCCATGACATAAGAGCGTTTCATTTCCTCCTGTAACTTTGTCCTAAAAGTATTTAACTGCTGCACTTAGCTTTATCCAGCCACAAAATAGGAGGGCCTTGTCTGCAGTGATCTTGCCTTTCTTCTTAGCAACAAGGCCTGAGCTGCCTTCTCTTTAAGCTTTTTGTCCTTGAGCATATTCAAGTTAGAAGGAGGCGAAGAGGGAGTTGATGGAATACAACCTGAGACTTCATGAATGAAGTGGAGTGTCTCCTTCAGAGCACCATCGAGCTCTTCACAAGCACAAGGCTTAACACAGAATTCTAATGTCTTTTGGAGAATGTAACTGACTGGGAAGACCAGAAACTGAAATTAGGAGGTGCTGGAGGTATGGCCCAATTGGTAGTATGCTTGACTAACAAACACAAAGTGCTGGGTTCTGCTCCCAGCACCACATAAACTGTCCATGGTACATAAACCTATAATCCCAGCACTCGGGAGATGGATGCAGGCACTAGGAGCGGAAGTTATCCTCGGCCACATAGCAAATTAGAGACCAGCGTGGATACATGAGAGCCTGTCTCAAAAAAATAGGCATCAAATGGTTTTTCCCATTGTGTCAAACTCCTCAAAATTCAACCTATGACTGTCTCACTGAGCAAATTGTTGGCCTTCTGATTATCAGTCATACATATCTACCTAATCTGATTAAATGTCCAAAATAGTCTGAGGAGAACTGGAAGTGGTGGCATGTGCCTGTAATCCCAGCATTCAGGAGAGTGAGGCAAGGGAATCAGGACCAGCCTGGACTGCACTTGAGAGGGAAGGAGAAAGATAAGGAAATAGCTTGAAGAATCCCTTGCTGTTGGGCAAAAAAAATGGGTTAGCATTTCCAAAGAGCTAGTGAGTTTTTGATTCAGTTTTATTGACTGCAAAGACAGCCAGGCACTTAATATGTTTAGTTCCTAGTGAAGATCTAGAACTCAGTCTGCAAGGATTAATAGATTGTGTCTGGACTGACACCATCTTTTAAATAGCCATTTAGGCTATTAATATTAGTTCATCTTAATATTAGCCATTACTAACATTTTCAAACTTGTTTTTAGTATTGCTTTTATTATTATGTGTATTTGTGTGTGTCTCTGTGTAGCTATGTGCAAGGGAGTACGGATGTCCTTGGAAGCCAGAAGCATCTGATCTTCTAGAACTAGGGTTACAGAACGTTATGATCTGGGTGCTGGGAACTGGACTCTCTCTCTGCAAGAGTAGCATGTGTTCTTAACCACTGAGCCATCTCTCTAGCATCAAAGTGGCTAACTTGCTGGGCTTCCTTTGCAGCTGTCAGTCTCAGTCAATAGTAAGAAGAGGCCATAACTATACAAATGAGTGATAACAGGTAAGTGAGGCCCATGAAGCCCCACAGTCAATGATCCAGTGAGTTTGGAACAGTCCAAATAGCCAGGGTAGTGTTTTCAAATGACTCTAGGCTAACACTGAGAACTAGAAAAATACCTCTTTTGCACAAAAGAGCAGCATTCATTTACAAACTACTAGTGGCCCAGGCTATATCTGGGAAAGAGAACAGATCATACAGTGGAGGTGGAACATGGATGACCCAACATGCAGAGAGATCAGTGCTCTGACACAAACATGGATAATAGGAGCCTAGGTCTGGGGCAAGTCTCAATGGATGTGAGCTGGAGAAGACTTGGAGTGAGTCCCACTTACCCGATTATTTCCAGTCTGATCCTTATAGTAAATCCAGTTCAGGCGTTCATCAGTCCTGTACTGCACGCTGTACTTGGTCATCCACTCATCTATGTCACAGCGTCCTTGGGTAAGGATCCCCGAAATCACCTTTATCTCCTTCAAGTCTATCTGTAGCCACTGGCTACTGTCCTGATACTTGGAAAGCCAAGCGCACCTGCCGGGAACACACCAAATTACCAGGAGCCATCCTCTATAAATGTCTGCAAAAAAGCCCACAGGTGCCGGATTTTGAGGGGTTACTAGCACCAAGAAGTCATGCCAACTCTGGGAATCCTCAGATCTTATCCTTAGGAAAGACTTCCCTGGCATGTTTAATTGATGAGGTCTTTCCCAACAGTGGTCATCCCTTAAGCTCAGTGGGTGTGCAGAGATGGGCTTAGAGTTCTGTCTCCCGTCTTCACTGTGTGCCTCCAGTGTCAAGGAACTCAGCCATCCTGCCACCACTGTGCTCACAGTCCTTGGCACAACAAGGCACTCAGTCAAGGTTTGTTGAATAAGTGCTTTCTCTGCCATCCGTTTATGAGACAGACCTAATTTCTCATCTTTAAGAAAAAAAAAAAGGAAAGAATGACTCCACCTGGGCTGCCTGCCCTACTTACCCGAAGCCTTGACTGTTGAGCCGGGCCTTGTTTGCTGTCCATGAGGAATACCAGCCCACGTACTGCTCTGGGTTGGAGCAGGTGATCTGATCTGGTGTGACCTCCCCTGACTCGAAACCCAGGGGCTTGTGATATGGGCATTCTGAGGAGGAAAGACAACACACACTCAAACACCCAAATAGTGGAGTGGCATGTGTATGTGTGGAGTCCCGGGTCCTCTGGTCTGCCCTGAGAAAGTATGGAGATCCCATCTCAAAATCCAAAAGAAGGTATGAACCCCTTATCCCAGAACTCCAACAGGAAATGGCTTAAAGAACAAAGCAGAAATGTTGGCACTTCGCAAGTGGAGGACATTTCATTTCTCAGCATGGTACTGGATGCAGAGAGCTGGACCTGCTTCTATTAAGTGCTGACATGGAATGACAGTGAACTGAAGTAGATGATTTGCCATAGAGACATTCACTCAACATCCATAAAAGCAGGTGGGGGGGAGGGGAGGTGGTTCTATGGCAACCTCATGGGGGTGTGTGAGAAAAGCATCGCCTCCCTCATCAACTTAGAGACCTAAATGCCAAGAGGTGCTCAGTGAAATAGCATATTGAAATGCCAGGCATCCAGCTTTAGTTCCCTCATTATCACAGGTTGAACTGTGCTGCATAAGAACATTAGGGTCTCTAATTGTTCTTGAGCAGCAGATGAAGCCAATTACAGGAAGAAAACAATGGTGAGCGACAAAAATGGCAATTATATACTGAGACTGACTTCTTACTTGTAAATTGTCATTTTCTCGATATCTGAAGGAAAATAACGGATGACTATGAACAAGGAACAGCTGAAGGGGACTACTTTGTTCCAAACGGGGACAGCCAAAGTGGTCCTTATAGGCTAGTTGCCTGCTACTAGTCCCTTCTCTTTGTAAGTAAGTCCTCACATTAAAACCGGCATGGGAACCGGGCGGTGGTGGCGCACGCCTTTAATCCCAGCACTCGGGAGGCAGAGCCAGGCGGATCTCTGTGAGTTCGAGGCCAGCCTGGGCTACCAAGTGAGTTCCAGGAAAGGCGCAAAGCTACACAGAGAAACCCTGTCTCGAAAAATCAAAAAAAAAAAAAAAAAAAAAAAAAAAAAAAAAAAAAAAAAAAAAAAAAAAAAAAACTAAAAAACCAAAAAAAACGGCATTGGGTTACCTTGCCAATTGACAACCAAGCATCTATTCTCCCTTTTGTTTTGACAAAAACAAAACAGTGTTATCAAAGGCAGCAATATCACTTGTTTAATAAATAAACAAAATAAATAAATAAATCGATGAAACACATACACACATTTTGAAGCCTTTTCCAAAGTTTTTCGAAATTAGGAGTGACTGACTGCATGACGTAATGTCTGATATAAGAGATTGTCTGTAAAAGTTGTCTGATCAAGTTTTCTCTTTGTCCCCTTTTTGTTTCTGTTGCCTAGACAGAAGGAAGTCACGATAGCAGGTGCCACTGCAGGTCACTTGCACTCTGGGGGAGCCTGCAGGATCCTTAGGCCTGCTATCCTTAGGTAACTCTCTAACCCCTAGTCCTTTTACAGCATAAGCTTCTTACGTAGGCAACCTCTTACTGGAATCCTAATCCAGGTCCTAACTGAAATCCTATAGAAAACCAAAGATAACTTTATATACATCCATTCACCTAGTCTTCTACTTGAGAATGATAAATTCCAAATAAGGCAAATGAAATTATGTTCTCCATGTGTAAATCTAAGTTTAAGCAAAAGATGTGTATTTGCTGTGGCATCATCATCACCTGGAACCTTAACTAACAGGAAATGTTTGAGTCTTCTTTGGGGATGAGCTTCCCAAATTCAGTAAAACAGGCTGGACTAGTAGATCGGTGGTAGTTGTGTTTTCGTAGCATGCACAAGGTTCCATCTCCAACACACACACACACACACACACACACACACACACACACACACACACACACACACACACACCTTCAGAAATCGCCATACCCTGTCCTAGGATGCCATAGCAGAATAGCTGCAGATTTCAGGCCAGGATAGCTCAGCTTCCTTTCTACCTGTATGTACATCTCAGCGGGGCCAGGGCTAATGGGACAGCATTTGTAGTTTATCAAGTACTCAAGGCCTTGGAGTCTATTAAAATCATGCCAGTTTTCGGGAGAGAGGCTCGGTGCTTTTATGAGCCACTCAATCACACCTGGTGTGGCCAAATCATTAGGGGAGCTTATTAGGAATGCAGTGTCTAGGACTCCACTCCTGGAGTGGAGTATTTTTAACAAGCATACTTTCCAAGTGCATTTTAAAAGCTTTCACCTGCCAGGGAAGGCATTTTGTGGGCTGGTGGATTGAGAGAGCTAAACACCCAGCCCCTAACATCCCTCCAGCCTGCAAGACAGGGTCAAGCTACCAGAAGGTGGGAAAAGATCCCAATGGCAGAAAACAGGGTTTTAATGGGCCTTCTTCACCTGTCACTTAACTTGTTTGGTTTGGTTTGAAGGGACAAGGTCTCGTGTAGCCCAGGCTGGCCTCAACCTCACTAGGAACACTTGCTATGTAGTAAAGTCTGGCCTTGGTCTTCCTGCCGTCACCTCCAAATGCTGAGATTATAGGTATACACCCACCCGCCTCCTCAGGTTCTTTCATTTGTCAGGATTTTTTTGTTTGTCTGTTTGCCATGAAGGCAAATTTGCCAAGCACTTTACCAAATGAGCTACATTTGCAGCCTTACTCTGTCAAATTCTAACCAGTTATCTCTAAGTCAATTCTGCTTGGAACATCCAGTGGCCAAATTCCTTTGCTTTTTCACCCTTTCTCTTCAGGGCCAAGGGCTGGGAGGTGGGGGAGGGGGGACAGAAAAGGAGGAGACTTGGTAGCACTTTGTAGTCCCTGTTTGTGGCAGTTTGCTCCTTCCATTTGCTCTTTCCATTTTCATTGACTCTCTTGCTCTGTTTCCCACATCGCCCATGTGACAGGAATAAGCTAAAGACCTACAGAGGCAATGTCCTCCAGGACCTGGAAGGGCTGCTGCAGCTGCCAAGATTGAGTGGTTCACTTGTGCTCCAAAGACATGTTTTGGAGGCCTGGGATACAGCTCAGTTGTTAGCTTACCTAGTCCTAGGTTCCATCCTCAGAGCCTGGGCATAGTTGGGCATGCCTGTATGGGAGTTAGAAGCAGGGGGACAGAGGAGTTTAAAGACATCCTTAGCTACATAGTGAGTTCAAGGCCAGCCTGGAATATCTGAGACCCTGTCTCAAAATAAATTTAAAAAGAAAGAGAGAGAAAGAGAAAAGAAAACAAGCAAATACAGACACAGTTATCTAGGCTGCATTCACTATCCAGGGCAAGTAACTGGGCTTCATGTGGTCTCCAGGATCCTATGCCCAACTGCTAGGCTCCAAGCCTTGTCTTGCTATCCCTTGAATAATGCCACTTGGATAGCCCAAAGAAGCTTGGTGTCCTTTATAATCCAAAGTGGCTCTGTGTCATCCTACTTCCTGTCTGGTCTCAGGCCTTGACATTTTTAATCCACAAAGCAAAGACTACAGACCAAGAGGGCTCAGGCTGGGCTGCACCTTCTAGTCACCCACGGAGCTTCAGGCATTCCAGTGCTCCAACACATTCCCATAGATTGTTGGCTGGGATTGGAGCGGAGTAGGGCCCCAGAGTCACAGGTGATTATAGTGAGCAGTCAAGAATAAAGAGGCCTGCCCAGTGCCAGCGCACTTAGTTCTTAACGCCCTCTGAGCCTGTTTCCTCACCTGTGAATGAGCATCATAGTAATATTGGAGACACTTGGCAAAAGATAAAGTGAAATCATGTTTGGCAACTGTAGACTTTGAAGAGTACAGTGTCTAGGTAAAAAGAAGCAAGCTGTAATACTGGTTGGTGGTGTGGGGTAAATTCATGAAGCTAGATGGATTCTTTCTTGGCTTTGCATGTTTTTCTTTGGACTTACCATGGCAGAAATCCAACACCCCTGTGCTTGTCTGTCCTCCCCCCCACCTACCCAACTGGCAGCATCTTTCAGGATTAGGGAGTTGAATGATGAGGTCACAGCCTCAGCTAAGGCCAAAGGGACCTTAGGGAGGCCTGAGTTCACTGGAGACATGGTTCCACTGAGGAATGGGACCAAGGGTGAGCCAGCCCTCTGGACACCCCCAGGAAACCATGTAGAGATTCTAAGGAAGTGTGGCCTAGAGAGAGGTTCCACCATAACCAGCTGTGCACTTCCTGTGTACCTCACCACCAGGCAGTTGTTGCAACCTTCAAAGGGCAGATCCCCAGCCTGAACCCCTGGATTTCTTAGGTTTTTGCATGCCCCCACCCTGCTATACCCCATCCTCAGGAGGCCAAGCCAACCTGTGGAAAAGGAAGAATTGGTATTTGTAATAGTTTCACCTGAAACTGCAGGTTCTTGGCCTTATGGTCTGTGGGTGGAGCCCCTAGACTTTAACCTAAGTACCCCTGTGGGATCTCTGGGCATCTCTGAGTGACAGCACCCATGCTTCTGTGCTTTCTAGGATCTTCCCTCCTAAGGCAGGCCCTGATGGAAGCACTCAATATCAAGATCCAGACAAAGTGTTCTTGGCATTCCACGAGAAACTGAAACAGTGACCAACAAATGACTTCTGGAAGCTTGAGACTAGTCCTGCTGCCTTGAATCTTTTCAGTCACAGAACAGCCAGTTAACACAGTGAACAACTCTTTCACACTGATGTGGTTTTTTCTTCCTCCCTGAAGTATCTTTGTTGTGAAAAAATAAACACTATAAAGAGAGCACTTATGCTAAGATATAGTATCATGTTAGAACCTCAAGTTCATGGCAACTCCATAAGGGACCAAATAGCCAAAGCAGGACCTTCTCAGCTCCTCAGTTGATTGACTTAATAAAGCCGATCTCCATAAACAGACCCTGTCCAATTTCTTTTCTGGTTTTTTTCTTCTGTATTTTTAATATATTTATTTATTTGGGGGGGCAGGAGGGAGAGTGCACCACAGCACACATGTGGAAATCAGTGCATATGTGGAGGTCAGAGGACAACTTGAAGCAGTCTCCCTCTCCTTCCATCGTGTAAGTCCGGTCAGCAGGCACCTTAGCCACTGGTCCTCTTTATTTATTTCTGACAGTGTCTTACATAATCCAGGCTGCCTTCAAACTCCCTCTGTAGCACTGAGTGTGGTCTTGAAGTAACAGTCCTCCTGCCTCCACCTCCAGAGTGCTGGGATCATGAGCCCAAAGATGGAACCCGGGGCTCTGCATGTGCTAGGCAGGCACTCTGACAACAGAGCTACATCCCCAGCCCTCTGCCTACTTTCCAAGAAGCTTCTTAAGAGTGAAATTCCATTAGATCTCATGTCTCTACTGGAAATGTTTTGGTTAAAACAGATGGTAGGCTCAAAATGGAGAGGTCAGTCCCAATGAGAAAGTAAGAGTGCCGACAGCAGCGTGTATGTGTGTGTGTGTGTGTGTGTGTGTGTGTGTGTGTGTGTGTGTGTGAGAGAGAGAGAGAGAGAGAGAGACAGTCAGGCTGACCAGATAAGAGAAGGAAGGGACAGGGTTCTGAGGGAAACAACAGGCTCCAGCCAGCTTCCAGCAAAAGCTCTTTCCTGAGTCAGCTTCTCACTTTATGGGTGGTTATACTTTTATACATATTACTGCACCTAAGTGTAGCAGACTGAACTCTTTATTGCAGGAAAAGGACTACCTCACGCTGCCCCCAAGGGTTGGCAAGGGCAAGAAAATGGTAGACCCAGACTTAGAAGACTAGACAATAGAAACAGCCCTTTGTCACCGCAGGAGGTTCTGGAGGGTGGACTCCCTTTCTGCTTTGCTTCCTCACCCTCTAACATCCTTTGGCTTGCTAGTGACCACTGGCACCTTTATCTGTGCCCCAGTGTGATTCTCCCCCCCCTTCGGGCGCAAGAATGGAGAGTGCTGCGGCAGGTGGGGTTAGTCAAGTGCTACTCAACCTGTGGGTCTCAACCCATCTGGGGAATCAAACAACCCTTTCACGGGGTCGCATGTCAGATGTTTACATTCTGATTCAGAGCAGTAGCAAAATTACAGTTTGGAAGTAGCAACGAAAATAATGTTATGGTTGGGGGGGTGGTCACCATAACATGAGGAACCGTATTAAAGGGTTGCAGCAGTAGGAGGGTTGAGAACCACTGGATTAGAGGATCATCCATCAGGAGGAGGCATATCTCCCCATTCACAGCAGAAAAGAATATCCATTTCCACCAAATGGTAAATCTCACCATGGTGGAGCCAAAGCCTTGGTTCCTGGCTTCCTATCAGTGCCCAGCACACAGTAGGTGTGTGGTTAAAGTCATTGGCCAGATAGAGAAGGTCCTTTAAGCCTGGGCAGATCACAACAACATTTAACAGCTGCAGGAGTCCCTGCCACCAAACATAATGGGACAACATCCCTGAGGAAAATCCCAGTTTCACTGAACAGCCTTCCTGTCCCCCAGTTCCCCTTCCTGACCTCACAGTTCTCTGTAGAGACTAAGTTTCTGTTGAGAAAACCAGATGGAAGGGCACTGTCATAACCAGAAGAGGGATGGCCAGGCCAGCTTCATGCACAATTGGCCCTGGGCCATGGAAAGGATTAAGCCTTGCAAATATTTGCAGGGACAGTGCAAGCCTCTGCAAGTCTGCCCTAATTTCTCAGTGTGAACTCCTAGGAGGCAACAAAACAAAAGAACCAATGTCTATTAAAGGCTGCAGTTGGCCAAGTTCAACACAATGATGCCTTGTCCTATTTATTCCTCCTAACAGCCCCACAGAGCAGAGTCACCAAACTGTAACCTCTAAACCAAGTTTGACTCATCACCCATTTGTTAGTGACAGTGTCTCACTATTGAAGCCCAGGCTGGTCTCAAACTCATGACCCTCCTGCCTCTGCCTCCCAAGTGCTGGGATCACAGGCTTGTACCACCATGCCTGGGTTCACCACTGTCTGCTTTATTATAAAATGTTATTGGGACACAGCCATGCTTATGTGTTTACATAATGCCTGTGGCTACTTCCAAACCCACAATGGCAGAATTAAGTGTCAGCCAGGACCATACCATTTGTAGAGCCCCTCTATTTTAGCTGAACTCTGACAATCCATGAAACAATAGTAATTTGGTTTCTAGAACTGAAGCAACCTGTTTTTCCAGATTCTTACTCTCCCTACTGTCATAGCTAATTTGGAGACAGCCTGATTCCAAGTACATACAATGGACTACTCATCAATCACAGGACATAGAACCCGCCCCTTCCTCTGATACCCATAAGACGAGGACTCCCCCAACTCTGAGTTATTTTCAGATTGCATTGACAGTTGGGTCTCACCTGACCATCTCAGGCAAGCCAGGAAGGGAAGGAGCATGTTGAAGCAGGGGCCAGTGTGAGATTCGAAGCTGACAAGTGAGCATGAGAGAAAACACAAGCAGAGCAGAGGGACTGGGTTCGGGGAGGAGGAACGCTCAGGTGCTGAGCCACTCACCTGGAATGCAGTCTAAAGAGGCAGCTCCCGCCGACCACAGAGCATTGGCCCCTCCCTGACAATCACACTTGCATGCTTTGTGGTACCAGGGGTCCTCGACCTCATCCTGCAGATAGCCAGAGTGGCACAAGTCACAAACGTCATAGTCAAAGACAAATGGCCAGTGCACCACAAGAAGTTTGTTTGCAAAGGTCAGACTCACTCCTGACAGTGTGTGCCTCTGAACACACACAGTGGCCACTCATCTTTGATTCTGTGTTACTTGGGTTGTGGCTGCTGCTGCTGTTTTTAGACAGGGTCTCTCTCATGTATCACAGGCTGACTTTAAACTCACTACATAGCAGAAGATGACCTTGAACTCCCGATCCTCCTATCTCTACCTGTGAGTGCTGGGTTTATAGATGGATGCCTTGTCCAGTTTATATGGTGCTTAGGATCAAGTCAAGACCTTCTTCATGCATGCTAAGCAAACATTCTACCAACTAAGGTACACCCCAGCTCTATATTACTTTTTTTAAATGTGTTTGTGCATGTGTACATGTTCAGGTGCACGTGTGCTTGGATATTCATACGTGTGGTGGCTAGAGAACAACTTTGGGTGTCTTTCTCAGGAATTCCATCTGCTGTCCTTGCCGGGCGGTGGTGGTGCACGCCTTTAATCCCAGCACTCGGGAGGCAGAGCCAGGCGGATCTCTGTGAGTTCGAGGCCAGCCTGGGCTACCAAGTGAGTTTCAGGAAAGGCGCAAAGCTACACAGAGAAACCCTGTCTCGAAAAACAAAAAAACAAAAAAAAAGGAACAATAACAACAGCAAAACAGAGGCCAACCCAACTGGGTATGGTATCTGTGCTACATAGAAAAATCCTATCCCAAGAACAAAGAAGCCCCCCAATCTTACTAGGGGTGTAACTAAGTGTTAAATCATTGCCTAGCATGAGCAAAGGTACCTAAAATAGGTCTGGGTGGGTGTTTTTTTTAGATTTTTGGGTTTGTTTTTGTTTTTATTTCCTTGAAATAGGTTCTCACATATTCCAGGCTGGCCTTGAACTCTCTCTGTAGTCAAAGAAGACCTTGACACCCCACTTCTACCTCTAGAGTTCTGGGATTACAGACATGTACCACCACATCCAGTTTAATGTAGTGCTGGACCATGGATGCTAGATAAGCACTCTGACACCTGAGTTATGCTCCTCACTGCTCCCCCACCCTCACCCTTCCTTCCTTCCTTTCTTTTCCTTTTTTCTTTTCTCTTCTTTCTTTATTCTTCTCTTTTCTATTTTCTTTTTGAGTCAGGGTCTCACTTTGTAGCCCAGGCTGGCCAGGAACCCAATGTGTAACCAGGCTAGCCTTGAGTGTCTCTGATCACTGAGTGCTGAATGATAGGCCTAATCTCAGTCTAAAACTTTTTAAAAAATACCTTTGAAAAGGGGCTGGAAAGATGCCTCTGAGGGTAAGAGGATTCGGCTGTGCAAATATGAGGACGACCTGAGTTCAAATATGCAGCCCCCAGGTAGAAAGCTGGGTGTGGCTGCATATGCCTGTAGCTCCATTTAGGGGATAGAGGCAGGTGATTTAGGTAGCTCATGGCCAGCCCACCCAGCCAAAAAAGAAAGCTTCCAGTTTAGTGAGAGCACCTGTCTCAAGGTAATGAGGGCTAGAACAATAGAGGACGACATCCAAAGTCTTCCCCTCACCTTCAAATGCATGTGCACAGGTGTGCGCACCTTTACAGTCACGTACACACCCCTCACACCCCACACACAAAATAATATACATTTGAAAAAAACCTCCCAGGCTTCAGGTGTATGTAGCTCAATGCAAATCACTTTCTTAGCATGCACAAGGCCCTAGGTTTCACCCCCGCACTCTCTCCCAAATAGTGCTGGACTCATCCATTAGTTTTACTTCAAAGGCAATAATGATGATGGAAAATCCAGCCTCTTTACTGTAACATACCTCTGTCGATGATAATCCCAATGTGGCTGAGCAAAAGAACAGGAGAAGAAAAATGAAATTAAGGAAAGAAAGATAGAAATTCCACAGAATCATTAATTGCATGGAAAAACAAAATGAAAATAACGCCATGAAAGGTTAGAAGCTCATTCTGGCTGAGGGCACGTCCACCAGGAGAAACTTCCACAGATGCTGGGAGATGAGGTAAGAAAAGGAGGGCAATTATTATTGTTGTTCCTTGTAGAATTATGGAAAATACATCAATAAAGCAGGACACAATAGACCTTTCTTCTGTAAACCACACTTGTTTATTTGTTTGTTTATTAATGTATTTATGTGTAAGGGAGTAAGGGGACCTTTGCTCCGGTGTAAAGATGGGAAAACTTGCAGAAGGCTGCTTCTCTCCTACCGCCGTGTGGATTCCAAGGACTACACTCTGCCCATCGGCCTTGGCCTTACCTGCAGAGCCGTCTAAGAGCCCCAGCACACCTTATTTCTCATGGCCATTGTCAACACCATTAGCATCCCAATATACAGCTCTCCAGTCCCCTCCTTTCTGTCAGAAAAGCCTTTTTAAATTTGTTTTTATTTTTAAAATGATAATACAATTACATCATTTCTCCCTTCCCTTTCCTCTCTCCAAACCCTCTCATATACCCCCTCCCCACTCTCCTTCAAATTCATGGTCTCTTTTTCACTAATTGTTATTGTGTGCATAGATGTGTATATATACATATACATTCCTAAATATAACCAACCTGTTTGCTCTGCATGATGTTATTCGTATATATGCTTTCAGGACCGACTGTTTGACACTGGACTGCTCTTCCCTGGGGCAGGCCACCTTGCTCACTCCTCAGCTGCCTCCAGTCAGTTTTGTTTGCTTGGTTTGTTTTGTGGAACCCAGAGCCTGGAACATGCTAAGCCTCCAATCTACCACTGAATTACATCCCCATCCCCTTCAGCCACCCTCCTCCTCCTCTTCCTCCTTCTCCCTCTCTTCCTTCATTCATTTTTTTGAAAGACGGAGTCGCATGTATCACGTGGCATGGCTTACCTCCAATTCGCTCTTTTGCCAAGAATGACATTGCAATCTTGATCTTCTTGCTTCCACCCTCCCTTTGCTTGGATTAAAGGCATGCACCACCAGACCTGGTTTATGTGGTCCTGGAGATTTAATTCATTCAAGCTAGGCAAGCATTCTACCAACTGAACTACATCCCCAGCCCTTCAGACAGTTTTCTGTGTGCATTTTAAAACATACATTTGGTGTCGGGAATTAAACGGTGAATCAGAATCAACACGGTCTCAGGAGACATATGGGACAGGAGGAAATTTTGATTCTTCTTCTTTAGTGGTATAGACCTGTCATTGAACAAAATGATCTGCATTTGCTCCTTTCTCACTGTTGTGACAAAACTCCTGTAGAAAGCGCCTTAAGGAAAGCTTTCTTTGGGCTAATAGTTCGAGGGTGCAGTTTATCATGGCACACAAGGTGTAGTGGTGGTAAGAGCAGCAGAGCTGTGGTAGCAGGATCCTGAGGCAGCTGGTCACCCCATATACCACAGACACTTGCACACCCACTTTTATTGAGCACTAGTTACAGTATTCACGATATGGAACCAGTCTAAATGGCTATCAACAAAGAAATGGAGAAAGAAAATGTGGCATGTATGCACAATAAATAATGAAGTTACATCATTAAAAAATACATTGGGGAGTTTACTCTCTAAACCAGTGGTTCTCAACCTTCCTAATGCTGCGACCCTTTGATACACTTCCCCATGTTGTGGTGACCCCAACCATAAAATTATTTTTGTTGCTACTTCATAACTAATTTAGCTACTGTCATGATGTAAATATCTGTGTTTTCTGATGGTCTTAGGTGACCGCTGTGAAAGGTTTGTTCAACTCCCAAAGGGATCACGATCCACAGGTTGAGAACCTCTTCTCTATTTCCCTTTTCTTTTTACCTTTTTCTTTTACTGATTAAGTCTTCCTCCTCCACCTTTGTCTCCTCCTCCTCCTCTTCTTCCTCCTCCTCCTCCTTCTCCTCCTCCTCTTGCTGCTGCCTTTCCTCCCCTCCACCTCCTCCTCCCTCCAGTGTCTGCCTAAACAGACTACCCAGGGATTGATTCCCAGTTCCCTCACTGTGCCACATTCATGTTAAGAAAAGTCTGGCGTGGTGGCACATGACTGTAATCTCAGCACTCCAAGAGGAAGAGGCAGGAGGCTCTGGGGTCTAAAGTCATCTTCAGCTGCATGGTAGGTAAGTCTGAGGCAAGCCTGGGACACAGGAGACCCTGTCTCATTGAAAAAGGAAGTTGAAAACCAGCCTGCTCTACCTACCAAAATCCTGTCTCATAAACAAACAACTGGGAGCAGAATTAAGAACACTGGGCCGGGCGGTGGTGGCGCACGCCTTTAATCCCAGCACTCGGGAGGCAGAGCCAGGCGGATCTCTGTGAGTTCGAGGCCAGCCTGGGCTACCAAGTGAGTTCCAGGAAAAGGCGCAAAGCTACACAGAGAAACCCTGTCTCGAAAAACCAAAAGAAAAGAAAAAAAAAAAAAAGAACACTGGGCACTCTTCCAGAGGACCCAGGTTCAATTCCCAGCACCCACATGGTGGCTCACAACCATCTATAACTTGTCCCAGGAGACCCTATGCCCTCTTCTGGCCTCTGAGTGTACCAGGCACACAAGTGGCACACAGACATACATTCAGACAAAACACCTACACACATAAAAAAAATAAGTAAAACAACAACCAAATGGTTATTTTGGGTTGGGCTATTAGAAGGTCTTCTTGAGGTTTGTCTATAGTATACAAGAGATACTAAACCAAATAAAATATGAATTCCATACAAGTAATCTGGGGACATGGAAAGTGCGAATTTAGCAAGAACAGGTTTGAGTCCTTCAGCTATGGGGGCTAAAGTAAACTGTAAGCATTAGCATCCCTCCCCAGCCATCCTCTCTGAGACAGGGTCTCACTATGTAGCCATGGCAAACTTGGAACTCATTGTGTAGACCAAGCTGCCCTTGAACTCACAGAGCTCTCTCTGTCTCTATCTCTGAAGTGCTGGGATTAATGGCATGCACCAACACACCTAGCTAGCCCCATACATTTTTTTTGGCCCTCCTCCTTCACTCCCTTCTCATACTTTCTGCTCCCCTCATACCCCTGGTCCCCTTACTACCCTCCAATAACTAACTCCTCTTCTGCTTTCCTGTCACATATATACTGTTATCTGGTGGGACCCCAGCTGGGAGACTGGCTCCCACATTTTACCTCAGGGTACTCTTGAGGAGAGAGGGATAGGAGATTTAGATAGAAGGATAGAGGATAGAGAAACAGAAACACAGGATAGCCTCGGGAGGGCCTGGGTCCTTATCCTTCCTGTCTCTTCTAAAGAGCTATTTATAGAAATGCCAAGGGGTGGAGCAAAAGACCTCCCCCTAGCACAGCCAAGTGTAGACCCTTCCAATCACCTAGAAACCATGCACATAGTCAAGCAATCCTCTAATGCAGCTCTGGTGGGTAAGGCAAGCTCAGCTCTCACTAGGAAACCTTTGTGGGCCTCTACATTATCCCCATCCAATATCTCTCTTTTTCTTCTCAGCCTTTCCTATGAAAGAAGACATGCAGTATTTGTCTTTCTGAGTCTGACTTACTTTGCTTAACATAATGATTTCCAGTTCCATTCATTTTCTTGTAAATGTCATGGTTTCACTTTGAGACAGGATCTCACTATAGCCATGGCTGTCCTGGAACTAGTTTTGTAGACCAGACTGGCCTCAAACTCACAGAGATCCAACTGCCTCTGCCTCCCAAGTGCTGGGATTAAAGTCATGCACCACCTACTTGTATATGGTTTCTCTGTCACAGGTTGACTTAGAATCCCTTGGGTAAAAGGAGTGGTAGACCTGGATCATATTGTAGTTCTAGTTTAAGGGTTTATTTGGGGGGGGGGGACCTCTACACTGATTTCTATAGTAGCTACACCAGTTTACACAGCCACCAACAGTGAATAAGTGTTCTTCCCCCACTCAACTTAATAAGTAAATTTGCATGCTTGTGTGTGTTCCTGTATGTACTGTGCATGTGCCTGTGAACGTAAAGGATAGCTTCAGATGTTCCTCAGGAGCCATCTACTTTTTATATTTTTTGAGATACGTTCCCTTGGTGGTCTGGAAATGGACATATAGGCTGGGTTAGCTGTTCAGTAAGCCCCAGGGAGCCTTCTGTCTCCTCTTCCACACTGTGCCCAGATTTCTTATTTGACTTCTGGGGATTGAACAGAGATCTTCATACTTGCATGTCAGGAACTTTGTCAGCTGAGCTCTCTCATCAGCCTAAATTTGCATGCTTTTATTAATCTGTCATTTGTCATAAGAAGTCTCAGCCATGAACCTTAGAAGGAATAAGTAAAATATGTTCATTTTCTCCTCGTTGGTGCCAAAGCCCCACTTCTTTTCAACAAAACAAATCCCTTTATTTCTGTTCTGACTAGAAAACAATACATACCTACTGTAAAATTAAAAAACAACCCTGAGTGTAGACAGTGGGAACTAGACACTCCTCCATTATCCTCTTTGCTATTTAACAACAGAATCTGATGTCTATGGAAAACTTAGAGCTTGAGAGTAGACACTCATTTTTTTCATCATGTTTATAAAAGCTACCAGTTAACGAATACGTAGTTTCTTGTTCTGTGGCCACATTGGTGCACTCACTGTGAGTCTGGCACTGAAGCATCATAAGTTTGCTACAGTGGAACAAGGTCCTAGAAGAGCTAGCAATGTGGTGGCTGCAGTGAAGCTGCTGGCCCTGAATCTTACTGGATTCAAGATTTCCATTACAACCTCAGCATCAAAGCACACACCATGGGCAGTGCCCTATGGTGTATCTCCTTCCAGGTCTTCAAGTCCTCCACTGTTAGTCACCTGGTACAGGCAGAATTGACCCTCTAGGGTAGCAGTGGAAGTGGAGGAACGCCATTTTTTGTTGTTTCTGTGTTGGGTTTTT